GCAGTCGGAACCGGTTGGGCACGGCATTTTCGACGGCAGACAGCGCACCGGCTGACCAGTGGCATCAGTAATTGGACTGTCACCGTTTGAACAGCTCGCGAAGTCAATGACATTTACCACCTCAACGCTTGGATTCAGTCCTTCGGGATACTTGTCTTCGCCCATCATATGCACCTCACCTGGCATCGCCGGAGACCTATTTATGGTACTTTCAAATTCAGCAGACGGTGGGTTCGGTACACCAGGACTCCAAGGGCCTTAAGTTAATTTATTTACTTTAGTCCTTCGCCTGCTGTACTTACCTGGATATTCAGATACGCCCGGTGGTAGTGGCAATACTTTCGTAGCCAAACTATCGTGTGTTCCTAAATAAATTGCAATTGCATTATCATACAGGCATATAATATTCCCGAATCAAGTTTTTCTGATATATGGTCATTTCTTAACTTAGAGCTTGCATCTTGTGGTGATATTTAGTCTGCTGATCAAGGCGGATTGTAGCTGTGCGGTTCTAATATCAGATAACATGGACCTGTGCTCTCGTATGTTATGACATGACAGTATCAGAACACAGTGATACCCCAGTTGTTCGTAGGTCAGCGAACGACCTGTGCTCATTTGTCGGAGTGAAATGGGTTAACTTTCTCTCTAGGAAAAATTAATCGATAAGAAGAAATTTTTTACCGAATTGGGACTCGCACTCTGCAGCCCTAAAGTACAAGTGGGCCATTGCCCTCTCCTTTTCTGTTGATGTGAGGGGCGATAAAGTATAATATGCGATAACAAGCATTTTCAATACTGAGTTTCCCTTAAAGATTTAATCTTAAAGCACAGAGCACAAAAACGGCTAACTTAAAAGTACAAAAAACATGACGATGATTAATTTGTGATATCGAACTCAGTTTGGCCTTAAAAAACAATTTGAAGTTGCCGCCTTTTCATCCCATCACCTGAGAATCCCGATGAGATAGCAAAAATCATGCTTTCAGCAGATCCTTGCCATCCAATTAAATAATTACCAAATTATATTGCTTTTGATAATACTAATGACCTGGTTTTGAAGCACTGATTCACAAACAACAACTGTGCCAGGATCAGCAGAAAACAGGGCGACTAGCACTAGACTTCTCAAACTTATGTTTCCGATTTATTAGGTGCCAGTTGAAACGCAGCAAAGTAATATTGCATATGTTTTTCGATGAGCTGATTTCACATTTCAAGTTGACAAAATTGATATCAATGGTGGAGATTGGGAAAATGGTTCTAATCTTTCTCTAAACGACATACATCCCGTAGATAATCGCACTTATCAGTATACAGAAATAAAAATTGAAATCCTACCCAAGGTTCCCTGTTTAACGTTTGCTAATGGGTCTTGTAAATCCAACAATTTAACTCATTGGTCTCATAAATGTGTAGACAAATTGCCTGCATGTTCAAAATATATTGTAGTACTAATAGTCGTATTGTAGCAGCAGCGACTTTGATTACTTTACCGACAACAACAACAACGGTTTCATCTTCTGCTGACTCCCACATTGAATAAACAGATCAGGCGAATTTCAACCCTAAGAGACGCTTACATCAGACAACACTGTTGCACCTTCGCCAACTCCGATGTGACCTAACCAGAGAATCCTGGTACCGCTGTTGTTCGCAAGCCACAGACTGGCTATGAGCTATCCTCACGGCTGGTTCCACACAGACAACGTTGAGGGAATTCCTTGCTCAAGGGAATTTGCAGCTAAGGCAAATTTTTCTTTTTTTGGGATTCAAAATTGACCTCCTTCCCACCAAGCTTCAATTACTTAGACTATTAAAGACTGTTAAGACAGAATACTTATTGTAGCTTTAAGTATGTTTGCAGAAAGTGAATTTTCTGAATTACTTCCACATACACCTTAACTGTTTAACTAAAAGGATTAAAATAATGAATGATTAACATAGAGCTAAACATAACCCAGTCCCTAAAATATGCAGGATGCTCAACTGCTAAGTTTTTAATTTGCAGGTAAAATGTTCTATGACAGTTATACTCTCATCAGTAATTGTTGGTAGCTTTTTATAGTCTTACGCACCTGTAGCTAGAATAGGTGGAAAGGTAAGGGCATCCTGGATTTTTGGTTGCCCTCTTTGTTGTCCTGGCTGGTGCGTCCTCGTAAACAGGTCAAGCTTGTCGATGACTGCAACGTACACCAATAAATATGCGTGCTAAGTTTTCTATCAGCTATGGCTTTTCACCTGGACAGGTTTCACAACATTCCTGCTGGGTTTCGAATTTGTTATCGTTGCCCCCGCATCCGGTATACACAAACAGTTCACATTTCATATTCCGTCGATTGTAATAGTACTTGACGTTGTACTCTTTGCACGTCCCCGCATCCTGGTCGAGAGAACACACCGGTGGGACGGTGATGCCCATCATTCCTGATTCTAAAAAATACAGTTTAAGCAGGAGTACAGTACTGGTTGGCAAAATCGCTTTACCTTTCATACAACGGTTGTGACACTGACTTTCAGTATCAAAGTTGTTCTGATTGCCCCCGCATGAGCCATAGATGAATGGTTCGCAGTTTTGCGTTTTACTATTGTAAAACCTGAACAACACATTTAGTGTTAAGAATGAACCTACAGAGCTTTAACTTTATGAATTTAACTTTCTCTCAGTGATCGGATCCATGAAAATTCATCCTGTTGATAAAATTTTAGTTTACCGTATCGCAAAATGTTTTTCAAGGACTGACTGAACATTTATAATGTATGTATAATACATCGTCGAAGTGTTCTACAGCTGGGTATACACTAAAAATTCTTGGTCTACTCCTGTCTCCAGTAGAACTGCTTTGCTCTTGGAGAAAAGATTATTTTTCACTATCCTAACGAACCTCAAAAGCAACATTTCGAAACACGATGCTCTCTACTTTTGCTGGATTGTAGCTAAATTTTAACTAGTGAGCCATTGTAACGCGTTTGACCGGTAGATAACGAAAGAATATTCTACTTACCATTTTGTCACATATTGCTCGCAATCTCCAGAGTCTCTGGGCAGAGAACAGATGATATCGGTCTCATCAGATATGCTAGAGAAATCTAAACCTAGAGAACGAAAAACCATTATTTGGAGCAAAGGACGAACGATTTGTGGCAATCTACTTGACAAAGAAATAGAACCGGGGGCCTCTGGCAATGCTGTTATACCCTGCTGCGTTCGATTGTCGAGCGGCACAAACTTTCTCTGGTCTGGAATCTGTAGTTGTTCGATTGGCTCATGAACGACTGAATAATGAAGGATCATCACAATCAGCGCTTGTCTCAATTTTAATCAAACCTACTAAATTCTCTGCAGTACAATTCGCATTCCTGAAGAGAAAAGAAGTGATTCGAGTTCCCGGCACAGCCACCATACTGGAAACTGTTGCAACGTCTTGTGTTGACGTCAAAACCCCACCGTACCAAACCGGGCTCTTTGCATGGCCCCGGGTCCTGCATTAGTTGAGCATTAAGTATTTTCACAGAAAATCCTTACTCTCACCATAGGTAGAAAACATTTTTCGGCCATAGACGCCACGGTGACAGTCTGAGTGCTGTGCTGCTGACTTCCTTCCGTTCGTTCGTTGCTCTCGGGTTGCTTCGTTGGTTCTATAATCATTTTTGTCATTTTTATCACAAACTTTTATAAAAGCGCATTGCAGAACACGACTATAATCAGCCAGCATCACTTGGGCTAATAAAACAATGGTGGCGTACCTTTAATTGCTGCGATCGATTCTGTGTCTTCAGCTTTCTCCGGACACATACATTGCACGCAACCGTTGTCCGACGTGAATGGAAGACACTGAACGGGACAGGTTACCTCAGAACACCTTTCAGATGCTGCTGAAACTGAAATCTGGCGGTTAGAGTCCATTGAGGACAAGAGTATTTCAAATTTAGGTTCGCAAATATATTTCTGCAGCTATCATGCTTTGTATTTATATGAACAGCAAGGTTGGCAACTTCCTACATAATTTTTTTGTGGTAACTAGCACGTCGTAAAATTTTCATTGCATTTATGAGACTGGGAAGATTTGAGAATTACTATCGACGGATTTTAAATACCGAAAAAGGCGTGATAAAATTTCTTTGTCATGTAAACAATCCTCTAACCAAAGGATTACGACTTATAGAGAAGGGACAAGTTGCAGAACCAAAAGATGTTCGATAAATTATATCAGGAACTTATTCGAAAATGAATCGTATTCGCAATTTTAATGATGAATTGTTTGGAAGCCTTCAGCCAATTCATTAGTCAATTTTGCACACTCATGTCTTCGCCCCTGTCCTTACGGCCGGATAACGTTTGCTGTTGCCACTTTTCAGCCCAGCATAAAATCTCTAAAAGAGTGATCGCCTTATAATACAGTTTCATTAGTAACTCAGTGGCTGACTGAACTGATTTTCCATCGGTATAATAACAAGTTAGGTTTACCCGTCATCGTCAGTCATATTTAAAACTTTTGATGATCATTAGCGGTATCAGCATGTAAAGGCTACCTCCGGCATACGATATACAGTTAGCACGTCACCGCTATTTGAAATTAAGTTACTGAAAGTCGCTGATGGATAAGTATGTCAGAGACATGGTGATACTTCACCAAATTGATATGCATGTAGTAAATGCGAGAGACCTTCAGTCTTATGCTCGAATGCTTTTGTCTCATATGAAGTAATGAAGAATGAAGTGATATATTAACTGCTAGCCACAATCCAGCAAAAGTGTATCAACAGCGTTGGCTTCGAGACACCACGGACAGGACCTTGAAGGGAATGACTCTATTCTCTTCTTGGCATAAGTGACTTCAGCACATCTAGAGATTAAGACAACTAAATGAGCACAGAATATTTATTCCAGCCTGAGAGTCGAAAGACGGCAGGCGTCGATCAAAATGCCAGCATACAACACATAGGAACATGGTAGAGGAAATTGCTTTCAGAGAGAAACATTTCCTCATACGCGCTGCGATAGCCAATGCTTTATCGGAAAAATGTCGAAAAGCTGTGAATACAATGGACATAACAAACTAGGGACATTCTGCTTATTCAAACCGTTAAAAGTGATGAGTGAGACGAACAAACCACAAATGCCGGAGTGTTGAATGTTTGAGTTCAGAACTAATGATGTTTGAATGCCCTGGCATTTTTTGCCTGTCACTGAATGGCCTCGTAATCGGGAACTTTGATCCAATGAACTCTGCATGCTAAACTCTAAACTTTTCACTGAAGGTCAAGTTCAACAAAACGCAAAGGGCGTGACTGGCACTTTGTCTGGCCTGACCCGAAATTCAGTTCCTGTTCTAGAGCAAAAACGTAACGATCGCTGGAAGTCAGCAGCAACCGGTTCAATATTTTACAAGAAGCATCGTTTTTTCCTTCGCTCATACTAAGCAGTGTCATGATACATTGGCTAATCGTGGCTAATCATCAAAAACGGTTTTGATAACTGAATTCCTGTATTAATTTTGGTGGATCTTTCTTCTGATAAAGTCCATTGTCCATCAGCAGTCCTTAAAGCTTCAAAGAACGATAAGGAAACTTTCAATATATGCCCGTAGAAAAGAGCTGGGTTCATCGTACATGAATGTACTGAGAGCATTTTTGTTCGCCAAGCAATTCGCTTTCCTTACAAACGAGGAGGAACATTCAAAGAAAATGACGGCAAAGCGGCACAGGGCGTGATGAATGACGTTGCGGATGGAAACAAGCTAGCGTTTTCGTGTCACCCGGAAATCTGACATTGTATTCTCGTACGAGCTTGTGCACTGATGTCGTCAGCACTTTCAACAGAAGATGATATTCGTCTTAGTTGTCGTGTCTTTTGGGGACATTGGACAACATGTAAACTTTCTTTTCGCATCCATTTTCACTGAAGAGGTCATAAAAGTGACAGGTGAGTACCACATTCAATTTTCCTGAGCAAGTCATTCGCCTCAGCACACACTAAGAAACAGGCGATAGGTCCGGAGAATGGCAAACACCCAAAACCTGTTCTTGTACGTTCACACCTGGGCGTAAAGAACTGATCACCATGCTGTTCGATGGATATGATTTAACCGACGTAATGGCTCATCGTTCCCCCTGTTGTAAATATTAAACACTAATCGCTATTTCTGCTAGATGATTTCTCTCCTTATGAGAAGGCTTTTGGTCAATATTTATATATGTTCTTAAGCATTTTTGTGCCTGTCGAGAACATCGCAGAATTTCCTTGACTTTCCCAATCGTTTTCTTTCCCAATGAGAGGTATGAATGTAATGCTCCCGTAATGGTGGATATCAGACTTTCTCAATAAACGATTTGCATTGCTATTCTCTAAGAAACAGGTATCAAATTCGATTGCCAGTGAAAGTTTAAACAACATATTTCGTAATGTGATTATACCAAGCATAAAAACAGACCGTTGTGCTGCGTGATGCGCAGCCTTGACAAATTTTACAGCCTAACATTTAATCAGTATGAAAAATGCAGCATATGTTACCATTGCGATATTAGTCTTCCTTTCACTACCGCAATACTGGGATCATGGGTCGATACTGATATCTGTTATTACGTCATCAGCCAGAAGTATCTTTACAGCTACGTACACGTACGACAGGAGCAGACTAAGGTTTTCCGCTGCCATTCCCACCAAGATGTGCCGTTGCTCATTTTACTTTGAAAGAACGAATGGCGACTGACCA